GATGGATGATGTTGATGGATTTTCTAATATTGTACCATCCTTGTATCCCTAGACTAAATCCTACTTGATCATGATGGATGATCTTTTTGATGTATTTTTTAATTCAGTTTGCTAATATTTTGTTGAGTATTTTTGCCTCTATGTTCATCAGGGATATTGGTCTGTAATTTTCTTTTGTTTGTGGTGTCTTGGCCTTGTTTTGGTATTAGAGTAATGCTGGACTTGGAAAATGATTTTGGGAGTATTCCCTCCTGTTCTATGTTTTGGAAAACTTGAAGGATGATGGTTATTAAGTCTTCACTAAATGTTTAATAAAACTCAACAGTGAAACCATCTGTCCCAGGCATTTTGTTCTTAGGTAGTTTTTTGATTACCAATTAAATTTCATTGCTGGTAATTGGTCTATTCCATTTTTTTTGTTTCCTCCTGGGTCAGCCTTGGAAGGTTGTATTTTTCTAGAAAGTTATCCATTTCTTCTAGGTTATCCAGTTTGTTAGCATATAATTTTTCATAGCATTCTCTCATAATTCTTTGTATTTCTGTGGGGTTGGTAGTGATTTTTCCTTTATTTCTCATTTTGTTTATTTGTGTAGAGTCTCTTTTTTTCTTGATAAGTCTGGCTAGGGGTTTATCTGTTTTGTTTATTTTCTCAAAGAACCAAATCCTGCTTTCACTGATTCTATTGTTTTATTCTCAATTTTATTCATTTCTGCTCTAATCTCTATTATGTCCCTCCTTCTACTGACTTTGGGCCTCATTTATTCTTCTTTTTCTAGTTTTGTTAATTGTGAGTTTAGACTGTTCTTATGGGACTGTTCTCTTTCTTGAGGTATGCCTGTATTGCAATGTAATTCCCTCTTTGCACGACTCTTCTGCACCCCACAGCTTTTGCAGTGTTGAATTATTATTGTCATTTGTCTCCATATATTGCTTAATCTCTGTTTTTATTTGGTCATTGATCCATTGATTATTTAGGAGCATGTTATTAAGCCTCCATGTGTTTGTGGGATTATTCACTTTCTCTGTGTAGTTTATTTCTAGTTACATACCCTTGTGGTCTGAGAAGCTGGTTGGTACAATTTCAACCTTTTGCATTTACTGAGTCTCTTTTTGTGGTGTAGTATATGATCTGTTCTTGAAAATGTTCCATGTGCACTTGAGAAGAATGTGTATTCTGTTGCTTTTGGATGGAGTGTTGTGTAGGTGTCCGTTAGGTCCATCTGTTCTACTATATTGTTCACTGCCTCTGTTTCCTTATTTTCTGTCTGGTTGATCTGTGCTTTGGAGTGAGTGGTGTGTTGAAGTCTCCTAGAATGAATGCATTGCATTCTATTTCCCCCTTTAATTCTGTTAGTATTTGTTTCACATATGTAGGTGATCCTGTGTTAGGTGCATAGTTATTTATAATGGTTATATCCTCTTGTTGGACTGACCCCTTTATCATTATGTAATGTCCGTCTTTGTGTCCTGTTACTTTCTTTGTTTTGAAGTCTATTTCATCTGATAAAAGTACTGCAACACCTGCTTTTTTCTCCCTATTAATTACATGAAATATCTTTTTCCATTCCTTTACTTTCAGTCTGTGTATGTCTTTGGGTTTGTAGTGAGACTCTTATAGGCAGCATGTAGTTGGGTCTTGTTTTTTTATCCATTCAGTGACTCTACGTCTTTTGACTGATGCATTCAGACCATTTACATTTAGGGTGATTATTGATAGATATGTACTTATTGCCATTTCAGGCTTTAGATTCGTGGTTACCAAAGTTCGAGGGTAAGTCCCTTACTATCTAACAGTCTAATTTAAGTCACTTAGTATGCTATTATAAACATAACCTAAAGGTTCTTTTTTTTCCTCCTTTTTCTTCCTTCTCCGTTCTTTATATATTAGGTATCATATTCTGTATTCTTTGTCTATCCCTTGTGTGAGGCAGATTTGATTTTGCATCTGCCTAGTAATTAACTGTTCTATTTTCTTTGCTGTGGTTTAGTTTCTTCTGGTGACAGCTAATTATTCTTAGGAATACTTCCATCTATAGCAGTCCCTCCAAAATGCTCTGTAGAAGTGGTTTGTGGGAGGTAAATTCTCTCAGCTTTTGCTTATCTGGAAATTGTTTAATCCCTCCTTCAAATTTAAATGATAATCTTGCTGTGTAGAGTATTCTTGGTTCAAGGCCCTTCTGCTTCATTGCATTAAATACATCATGCCACTCCCTTCTGCTCTGTAAGGTTTCTGTTGAGAAGTCTGATGATAGCCTGATTGGTTTTCCTTTGTATGGGATCTTTGTTCTCTCTAGCTGCTTTTAAAAGTCTGTCCTTATCCTAGATCATTGCCATTTTAATTATTATATATGTTTGTGTTGTCTTCCTTGGGTCCCTTGTGTTGGGAGATCTGTGCACCTCCATGGCCTGAGAAGACTATCTCCTTTCCTAGATTGGTGAAGTTTTCAGCAACTACCTCCTCAAAGACACTTTCTATCCCTTTTCCTCTCTTTTCTTCTTCTGGTACCCCCATAATGCAAATATTGTCCCATTTGGTTTGATCACACTATTCTCTCAATATTCTTTCATTCTTAGAGATCCTTTTTTCTCTCGGTACCTCAGCTCTTTGTATTCCTCTTCTCTAATTTCTGTTCCATTTACTATCTCTTCTTCTACATCTAATCTGCTTTCATTTCAGATATGGAATTTCTTAATAATTGAATCTCCATCCTGAAATCATCCCTGAGTTATTGAATATTGTTCTGTACCTCCATGAGCATGTTCATGATTTTTATTTTGAACTCTCAGGAAGATTGATGAGTTCAGTTTCATTTTGTCCTTTTTCTAATGTTTCTGAGATTTTTGTTTGAATCAGGTTCCTTTGATGTTTCATATTTGTATGTGGCGCCCTTAGTGCCCAGAAGCTCTAGTCCCTGGAGCTGCTCACCCTCTGGAGTGATGTCAGGGGTTGCAGGGGAGTGACACTGTTGCTTGGAGGGAGGAAAGAGCTGTTTCCTCCTTCCCGGCTGCTATGCCTGTCTCCACTGCTAGAACCAGTGGGCTGGGCACACAGGTGTAAGCCTCTCTGCTTTGTGTCTGTAGCTGCTGTAGGGAGGGCCTCCTTCTGGCTGGGGAGGGACTGCCGGTTTGCCAGCTGGTGATGGCAGGCCAGGAGGAAGGTGCAGCAGGCTGCGTATCACAGTGGGGGGCCTTGGAGCTGAGTAGCCAGCCAGGGGGATGGCGCCCCTGAAGCTCCTGAAAGTTCCCAATGTGCTGGGCAGAGCATTCCCAGATAAGTTTGTCCATCTATCCCTTCTCCCATGTAGCAAGCTCTGTGCAAACCCTGCCCCCTCAATAGTCCTCTTGCTGCTAGGAAGCTTCTCAGACCACCCATGTTTCCTTTGTCCCAGAGTGGCCAGATGTCGATCCCTGTCCTCCACAAACAGCTGGAATCTCAGTTTCTCAAGTATTCCACCTGTCTTAGCTTTCCAACCCCACTAGTCTCCAGAGCACCATGCAGTGTAGGTCTGTACTCCAAAGCAGATCTCCTCAGCTGGGTGTTCAGCGATCCTAGGCTTCCACTCCCTCCCCGCTCCATTTCTCTTCCTCCTGCTGGTGAGCTGGGGTGGTGGAAAGGCTTGTGTCCTACTGGGTCACAGCTTTGGTACATTACCCTGTTTCGTGAGGTGTGCTCTGTTCTCCAGGTGTATGCAGTCTAGTGCAGCCTTCTTTCCTGTTGCTCTTTTAGAATTAGTTGTATTAACTATATTTTCATATTATATTTGGTTTTGGGAGGAGTTCTCTGGCTCACCTCTCATGCTGCCATCTTGAGTCCATCCTAGTAATCTTTATTTTTTGTTTTTATTTTTTACTAAATTCATTTAAAACAATGAATTTTCAAATGTTAAAATTTAAACTGTTTTTAAGGGAGATTTTGGAAAATTCAAGAAAGAAATGAGTAAAGCAATAGGTGTAGAAAAGTAAAGGATTTATTTCAAGAATTCAGAGTTAAGACACATTTACCTAGAGGAGAGAAATTATAGTGGAGGATACTGAGAAACTTGTAGAAATAATTTAGAGTTAGTGTGTGAAGGCAATGAATAACAGGAAAAGTGGGAAGCCACTAAAGATTTAAGAGTAGTCAGTCATGTTATTAACTGCTTAATATTAATGAACACTTAAAATAAACCAAAAATATTTCTTATGACAATGTCATTCATTGAATTGTTATTTTAACTAACTTAACATATAGTATTTACCCATTACTGACTAAAGTAGATAATGTCTTATAAGAAAGTGGCTTATAGCCCTAAGTATTCTACAAAGAGATGGTTTCAAGTTTTCTCTAAAAAAGTTGGTAGTGTGGGTGTACATTATGATGCTTCCAACTCACCATTCTCCTTCATTGCAGTCTTGATTATGTGCTAGAAGGAGCATCAGATGAAAATTTAGGACACCTAGAACTTGGGCTACTAAACATCTGAGTAACTTGGGACAATGAACTTCAACTTCAGATTTTTGTGGAAAATGAATAGGACTGGATTATCTTCAAAGTGCCTTCCATCTCTATAAATTTGGAGTTATGTGATACTATAATTGTTCCTATACACTTTGATTTAAGCAGTATTAAATATCCATTAAACAATTTCAGATTGAGAATCATTGAAAATGCTGTCTCAATATAATATCAGATGCATTTATTATCTAAAGCATTTCACAACCTTTTAAAATTAGATTACATTTATTCTGACAATTCTATTTCTTTTCTACTTTTGTTTCTGCCTAAAGTTGCTGTGTGCTGTTTTGAGTTTACAAATTCAATAGGGTGAATGTTACAATGTTAAGGGACCTAAAATTATAGATTTCTTTGGTAATTGACAAAGTATGGTGGTTATGAAAAAAATACTTATTTATACTTAAAATTTTTTTATATCTTTAATAACTGTTGAAAGAATAAAATAATCTTGGGATATATCCTTGCATTATATGCAATCTAAAATTAAAACTTTTCTTTTCATAAGGTGGTTTTTTCACAAAAAGAATATATTTCACCATCTTTCAGACCAGAATATATAGAATTCAAACCAAAATATCAGGTGAGTCCTGAGTTATCCTATTCTAGTATCAATTATACTTAAATACTAGGTTTCTCTACTACTTAATATAATTCAATGGTTCCAAAACCAGACTACCCATTACCAGGTATCCAGACTACCTAGAAACACCTGGCTCTTTTTAAAAAAAATACAACCCCCAGGACTCATCTTTGAACCACCTAATGATCTCAATCTTGAAATGGAATCTGTATTTCTCAAAAAAGGGGATTCTTATGCTGTCACCTGGATATCAATTGGGGTATGAAAACCAGTTATAATAAATTGTATCCATAAAATGAGGTTTTGAACTATTAAATTAAAATAAACTAAAATAAATACTAGGCTGATTATTTTACATTTTGTTTTTTTTCAACTGGGTAATGTAAAAGTTGTATGAACAAAGGGTTTGAATAAGAGACTTCAGATGGAAACTATTTCCATGATAGAATAGCTTGATCCCAGAGCTATAAAACTGTTTATGGATATTACACTGAAGTTTCACTGTATTCCAGAACTTTTTGTACTGCTCTCTTAACTATATCTGAGGTTATATATAGTATTCATCAAAAAGTAACATTCTACCATGACATGGTAAGGATTGAATGGAATTCATCATCATTTTTGAAACTCAAATACATAAAGGCAGATGATATATACCCCTAAGTCTGTCTTTAGAGAATATTTATGATACATTTAATGGGATATCTACTACTTGCTTTGCATTTAAAAAATGTTTTCCTTATTTCTACTAAAATGGTAAAGATTTAAATAGGTTAAGACTTAGATCCTGATGCTAGTCATTGTGTAAGCAAATGCAGCTAACACTGGGAATTGAGTTCTTAAAAATGTCTCTAGGACCTTTTTAAATATTCCAGGTAGCAAAAAGCACTTGGACACAAAATTGTATCTGAACTTTGCACTAAGTTTTTGATTATTAATCCAATTTCAAATATTTTAAACAATGGTTTTTTCTTTGTAGAAGATAGGAGGATGAATAGATAGATTGACAGAGTGCTCAAAGAAAATTAACCAGAAAATTTTTAAATTCAAATAAATGCTACAGAGTTTCTTAACTTTTTTTTAAATATTTCAGTTCCAGAAATTCAGCATGAAGGATGGTTTTGATCCTTTTCTACGGAATATAAACAACAGAAAGTCAGTCAGAAAAATGAAAGACCAAAATATGTCCAGATGTAGAAACATTTTAAGTGCAGAGGTTATCGAGCTTGAAGACCAAGATCCTCCTTACCCAACACATTCAAAAACAGGAAGACCTACTAATAAAATCTGTCCCCGTGATCTTGATAGCATCACAGTAATGACTTCAGACCGTATGGATAAGTTAGCCAGTGATCCTGGTATCACCACAATAACGGGTTTAGATACTAAGAATAAATTAAAGGAAAGACTACCAAATATATCTTCATCAAACTTTGAAAGAGCATCATCAATGCCTGGAAATGCTAATGTAAATACGTATCACCTCTCAAAATCATTAAATCTTACTTTTCATATAGAAAATCTAAAGCAGTCAATGGTGCTGAAGTCAATTTTAACTAAAAATCTGCAAGACTTTTCAGATAAATTATTTTCAAAAGCAGAAGTTACTATAGACACTGAAGCAAGAAAGAAAAGTCATTGTTCTCCACTTCTAAGTGTTCATGATGAACCACCAAATAGTTTGGAAGACAAAGTGTTTGAAAATATTCAAGATTTAAATAGCTGTCTTTCAACAAAAAGTCATTTTAAGTTTAAAGTCTCTTTTATTTCAGATAATTAAAAATATTCCTGCAGATTCACTTTCAGAAGGTGGACCAGGAAATTCTCCAGAGGTAGAATGAGAACTTATCTCTGAAAAACACTTAGAAACTGGTGAGACATATTTTCCAAATAAAAAAATAAGTAGTTTCAAAAAGAAACATTTAAAAAGTATCTCGTACCAAACCAGATATAAATGACACTGCAGATGATTATGGTATAAAGCAAATATTCAGTGCACCTATCTTCACAAAGTTGCAGGTAGGAGAGAAAGAATCCAGTGAGATGCTGATGAAATTGCAGAATCAGTTACCCACAGCTTGGGAGAGTTTATCTTCAAACACTCTAACTGACTGTGAAGAAAAAGATAATGCAATAGAATTGCCACAGGCAAAATCTGTTATAAGCCAAATAATACAAGCATTTCCTGTGGATACTCTTTTAGAATCTTTGATAATCAAAGTGATAGAGTTAGTTACAGAATACCAGAATTCTTTGCCGAATATGGAGACAGTCTTTGCTGAGGAAAAGCCAAAGTATTCCTCAGAGGATTATTCAGAAATCAAAGGCAAAACAGAACCTCTTTCAGAATGGAACATATCCATCATTCCCAAAGAATAGAGTTCCTTCCTTTTAATAGAGTTGAATTTATAGGTGAAGGCCAAAATATATCCCCACAAGTTTCAAAATATCAGTCAACACCATATAAAAAAACAGATTTGTCAAATAATGGTCAGAGGTTTGATAGAGAAGAAAATGATCTAAGTTCTACTTTAGAAAATTTAGGTAAGTCATTATTGGGTAATGAGTCAGATGTAATAATATTAAAATCCTTTTTAAAGAATATATTTAATGTTTTTTTCAAATACAATCAGTCTGAAAGAAGCCAACCAGCAAAAGAATTAGAAAGACTAATTCAACAATCTTTTCCAAACAGTACAGAAGACTTTGAAGAAATCATAGAGAATTTTGATAAAGTAGATAAATTAGACAGAAAACCTATGTTGAGCCCAAAGCTACATGTATTTCTAGAAGAACTCTCAGAGACAGAAATAAAAAAATTAAAATCTGAATTAAGTGAACACGTCCAGCATTACCTTGTGGAAAGACTTTCAGAATCAGGACACATTACCCAAGAGGACTTACCAAAAATCTATCAAAATCTATATTCAGTGAATGAGAAAGCAGAACCAAAATGGCAAAATATTTTTCTGGAGAAATATTCAGAAACTATAAAAGAAATTGTGTCCTTTGTAAATAATTTCAATCATCATTTCAAAAGTAAACACTTGGAAATAAAACTAAGATCTTTTTAAAATGAAATTCTCCAAAACTATTTCCTAAAAATCTTTTCAGAAAGCAGGTTATTTAAAGAAACAGAATCTGACACTATGCACTCAAACATATCTTCTCTAAGAACTAAAAGTGCCCCAACATCTTTTCATGAGGTAGGACAAGATATTTCAAGGTGGAGTTTTGGTGAAAGACTTGATATAAAGATGAAATATCCTTTAATTAAGTCTGTACGAAACTATCTTATAGCTTTATCAGAAAATGAACTACTAAATCTAGTCTTAGAAACTGGTGAGACATATTTTCCAAATAAAAAAATAAGTAGTTTCAAAAAGAAACATTTAAAAAGTATCTCGTACCAAACCAGATATAAATGACACTGCAGATGATTATGGTATAAAGCAAATATTCAGTGCACCTATCTTCACAAAGTTGCAGGTAGGAGAGAAAGAATCCAGTGACATGCTGATGAAATTGCAGAATCAGTTACCCACAGCTTGGGAGAGTTTATCTTCAAACACTCTAACTGACTGTGAAGAAAAAGATAATGCAATAGAATTGCCACAGGCAAAATCTGTTATAAGCCAAATAATACAAGCATTTCCTGTGGATACTCTTTTAGAATCTTTGATAATCAAAGTGATAGAGTTAGTTACAGAATACCAGAATTCTTTGCCGAATATGGAGACAGTCTTTGCTGAGGAAAAGCCAAAGTATTCCTCAGAGGATTATTCAGAAATCAAAGGCAAAACAGAACCTCTTTCAGAATGGAACATATCCATCATTCCCAAAGAATAGAGTTCCTTCCTTTTAATAGAGTTGAATTTATAGGTGAAGGCCAAAATATATCCCCACAAGTTTCAAAATATCAGTCAACACCATATAAAAAAACAGATTTGTCAAATAATGGTCAGAGGTTTGATAGAGAAGAAAATGATCTAAGTTCTACTTTAGAAAATTTAGGTAAGTCATTATTGGGTAATGAGTCAGATGTAATAATATTAAAATCCTTTTTAAAGAATATATTTAATGTTTTTTTCAAATACAATCAGTCTGAAAGAAGCCAACCAGCAAAAGAATTAGAAAGACTAATTCAACAATCTTTTCCAAACAGTACAGAAGACTTTGAAGAAATCATAGAGAATTTTGATAAAGTAGATAAATTAGACAGAAAACCTATGTTGAGCCCAAAGCTACATGTATTTCTAGAAGAACTCTCAGAGACAGAAATAAAAAAATTAAAATCTGAATTAAGTGAACACGTCCAGCATTACCTTGTGGAAAGACTTTCAGAATCAGGACACATTACCCAAGTGGACTTACCAAAAATCTATCAAAATCTATATTCAGTGAATGAGAAAGCAGAACCAAAATGGCAAAATATTTTTCTGGAGAAATATTCAGAAACTATAAAAGAAATTGTGTCCTTTGTAAATAATTTCAATCATCATTTCAAAAGTAAACACTTGGAAATAAAACTAAGATCTTTTTAAAATGAAATTCTCCAAAACTATTTCCTAAAAATCTTTTCAGAAAGCAGGTTATTTAAAGAAACAGAATCTGACACTATGCACTCAAACATATCTTCTCTAAGAACTAAAAGTGCCCCAACATCTTTTCATGAGGTAGGACAAGATATTTCAAGGTGGAGTTTTGGTGAAAGACTTGATATAAAGATGAAATATCCTTTAATTAAGTCTGTACAAAACTATCTTATAGCTTTATCAGAAAATGAACTACTAAATCTAGAAGCTGATTTAAGCAAACACCTACAGAGCCTTTTTACAGAAAATCTTTCAAAATCTGGATTAATCACAGAAAGGCAATTAGAGGCAACCAAACAGCATATAAATTTGATTAATTCTCGTTTCATACCATTAAACTGTATCAAGTCAGATTTATCTTTTAGACATTAAAATCAATTTGAGGAGGAAGAGTCAGAAAAACAAAATAAATGTTCAAAAACTGTCCAAAAAACCACTTTACAAAAGGTTCCTGAGGATAAACTTGTAGAAACCGAATTGACCAGAAAGAAAGAAAAGGAGTATTTTTCCTTACATAATATTAAGGAAAATCCATCAACAGTTGGCGAACAGAAAAGATGTTATCCTAAGGAAGGAGCTAACAGTGAATGTAATTAAAGGACGACCTTCTTCCAACAGAGGTACCCAAACAATTCCATTAAATAAATCATCAGAAAGACTTACAGATACAGTGCTTAAGAAACAAAGGGAAGAAAATGGCTTCATGCAGCTTCCTCAAGCAGAAAATCTTTATTTTAAGACACAGATTCAAGGCCCACATAGTTGGAGTGGTATATCAAAAACAACTCATTCAAATGTTTGCTTTGAAAGAACACCAAAGACAAAGACCCTTGAAAAAAAGGAGCATAATAATATCTGTAAATCAGTGTACAGGAAAAATCCTGAAGTGGTACTGTTACCAAGAATTCCTAATTGCAGAAAGCCAAGTGAAAATGAAGAATATGTAAGCAAACTTACTTTTCCTTCCAGGCAGAGTAACATTTTAACTCATTTCAATTCAGAGGCTGGGAAGAAATCAAAATTAGACCAGTATTGTCAGAGATTGAAAAGAAACAATAACAATAACAAAAAACAACATTTAGTAACATTTGCACAATATCAAAATGAAATACAAGCTCTTTATATAAAACCACATGAAATCTGCAAGGAAAAATGTGCCTGTGTCCCTGAATCACAATCATATAAAGTTGTGGAAGCTGAAAAAATTCAAAACCATCCCTCTTCCCAAAAGTCTTAAAGAGAGAAAACCTAAAGCCCAATGTCCGAAAAGAAAAAGACCATGTCAGCAACCAAAAAAAGTCATTTAACAAGATAGTTAAGGTACTATCAAGCACACCACCCACCACAAGAAGTCTAAGGAAATCTGTTCCAGGGACATTGCATCAGTGGAATGCAAGAACAACTATACATGTAATAGGTTTTTCTGTCTTCTGTATTTGGCAAAGTACTGTAAATAATCTGCTTTGGGATGTATAAGTCTGCATGCAAGTATGTGTGTGATCTTCATTGCCCCAAAACATACAGACCTTCAAATTCAAAAATTTCTTCTGAAACTCAAATATCTCCTCATCTGATTCAAAATGCAATCACAAAGTCAGTGGACTGTTAACACACTTACTGCCTTTATATAAAATACATAAAGGGCATCACCCTCTGGAACATGAATTAGAAAAAGTCACCCTTTCCTCTGGGGAAACCATGGGCTGACCCAGCCTTGGAGTCAGGGCACACAGTCCTGTCTATGGAAAACTGCCTGGATTTTAGCCTCTCTTACCCCTCAACCAGGGCTGCTGTGCAGGCACAAGGTGTACAACCTTTGGCAGTGGCTGTATACTATGGAAACATAGCTGGGATTTTCTTTTCATGAATATATAAGTATAAATATATAGTCTCAAATCATTGAATTATCTTTGTTTCAGAAAACAAAAATATGATTATGTGCAAATTATTCTAGAAAGCATTAGGGAAATGCAAAATTTATGATCTATTGGATTGTGAGCTACAAATTCTAATCTAACTTCTTTTTTTGATCACCACTCTTCAGCTATATCATGTACTGAGAAACTTGGGAATTCAAGTCTATTTTTAATATTAACATAAAACAGGCAGATAAATCTACTACTAGACTTTATACAAAGCATTTTAAAGTGAAGTTAAACATCTAGGAGTGGAAGGGACTTACTTTAATTTTTTGGACCACTGCTCTTTGTTAGTATATATAAATAGGTATGACAGTGGGAAAAGTCATAAATTCTAAAATGACATATTGATAATCTGATGCACATAATTCCACCTTTGGGTGAGAAAATAGATCAAATTTCAGAATAGTTGCTTTGAATTTACTTTGAATAGTGAGGCAAATATTTAGCTTTAGTAAATGGTAAAACAAATTAGTAGCAGGGTAAATATCAATATAATTACATTTTCAACTTTGGATTCCTTTTTTCAATCTAAATTCAGTAATTTAATTGAGTGAGTGTTACATGTGCACGTGTGTGTACATATTAGGAAAAGGAAGTAGAACATATGTTCATAGTTTTCGGAAAGGACTCTGAAGTTCCTTTAGACAAATGGAATCTTTAATATCACTTTTCCAAACAAAGCAAAAAATGTGTTTATGTTTGATGGTATGAGGTCATAACAGGATCACAGGACGCTTATCCTAAGAGTGGTCAAGGGAGACAGAGTTACCTTTATCTCCCTCTGTTAAACCAATGCCCAGCCCCCTCAAACTTTTCTCTCTTGTGAAGTTGACAACAGAATTGAGTGGTAAGAGGGCATTTTTCAGATCACCAGGACTTGCTCATCTGATTCTCTAAAATAGATGAATCTCCCAAAGGAATCAAAACAAGTGACAGAGAAAAGGAGTTGTGGGAGTGTCCAGAAAAACAACCAGTGGTGTGGATTTCCAGGCCCTTCCACTGGCACCCTAGGAATCAGTTTTGTCAGTTGTGAAGCAAAAATTATGTATTCCTCACCAATGTAGCAGATTCCCTTACTAATGTGGCTTACCTATACCTAATTGTTTCATGTGCATAAGAGGGAAGGTGAAGAATGTTTCCTTGTCCTCAGCAAACCCAGGCAAAATGTAAAGTAGGTAGAATTCGTCTTTAGACTCTTCATACCTCATTTTTTTGTAAACCTTCTCTTTCTTGCTGCCCTACTTCTCATCCTGCCCAGCCTCTCCTGACTCCCCAGTTCTATTAATCCGCTCCCACCTTCTTTCCAAATCAAAGCAGGCCGTTTGTTTGGTGTGGCCATGTCTGCAAAACATTGAGAGTTAAACTTAGAAACTGCGGAGGGAACTGGTTTACACTAATTTGAGAATGAATAATAGCTCCATACCCTCTTAGGTACTTACAGATTATTATATTTTTATTTTAAAATATAGCCATATTATACAAGTTTGAAAAAAAAAGGAAAACAAAGCCCATAATCCCATCACCCAAACACAATGACCTTTTTTTTGAGGTGGGGAAAGGAGGTTATTTTCCTGAATGTTTTACTTGTTTACTCTCAGAACGTATACACATTTTTAAAGTTTAATGTATACATTATAATCATCTGCTTCGATGCTGGGCTCTATATGTGTATGTGTGGTAAAGGTGTTAACTTATAAAGAATGAAAGGTTGGATGATATAAAAAGTAAAATTTATATTGGGTTGGGGAAGAGATATTTTGGAGAACTGTAGAATTATAGAATATAATATCACTCCAATGATTTCTAGCTTTGCTCAGGAGTCTGACCCTGTGGCTAGCTCCCTTGCATTTTTCTGGTTTCCAGCTTCATATCTGCCATCCATTTTGAAATAACAAATCCTTTGAAACAAGCTTTTTAAAGCATGGTTTCTGTTACCTAATGAAAGGTATTGGGTGTGGGATCTTAGTTTGGGGACTACTTATAAAAGATTTGATGCTCTCATTCTTTATTGAAATTAAAAATTTAGTCCTTGTATATGTAAAATGTACTTTTAAGAAACCTAACATCAATTTGATCTTTTATTTTAATATTTAGGATTGTTCGGACATATTTGAGGATTTACATGGGACCTCATTTAAACGTCTTGAAAAAGCAAAATCAAGATGAAGGCTTTTAGGAAAGGGCCCAGATGATAGCCATAATCAGTTAAAACACTCTGCAAGACTATATACTGCTCCAGAGGTTAACAAACAACGAGAAAGCTACACTGGAAAATTTACAAGTCCTCAAATGGTTTCAGCAAGCTTAGTTCATATAAATGATCCAAGTCCAGATTATGAAATCCTCAAAATGCAGCAAAAAAAATTTAAAAGAGAATATTGAAAAATGTTCACTGATTTGTGATATCCAAATGTTAAACATTTCAGAATGATATGTGAGGACTACAGTCAATCATTTCTTCAATTAACAAAATGATTTGGAGATACATCCTTCTGTGATAGAAGTCAGGAACAAAATTTCATCTTGTTAGAACCATTGTGTTTTAATTAAAATGAAAAAGAAGCACTTAGATGTAAATGTGTTTTGTTTATGAACCTTAGGGAATTAACACAGAAACACATTCTGTTCACATTCGTTAGTAGTTTTATTTCCCAGCTTTCCCCCTTTTTCACTATATAATATCACTCCAATTTATAGTTTCCTGATTTCCCAAATCTTTGTTACGCTCTAAACTATCAGGGTCTCTATTTGAAATTATGTTTAGCCTTTTGTTATGAATGTACTTTTCCTCTTCAGCTGTAGTTATATTTTTAGATTCAATAGTATGTAACTAGAACATCTATTTCCAGATTCAACAGTATGCCAGTGGAGCATCTATTAATTTTACTATCATCTGGTATTATAACTTTTTACACTATAAATAAAAATAAAGAACAGATTTAATACTAGTTCCGGAGGCATCTCCTACACTTGGAGTGACTTTCTAACTTATTTGAAAACTATGAAAGGGCCTCTTTAATAACATGAAACTCAGGTAACTGCATAGAACTATGGAAAATACAATGAAATTATCCAGCCAAATCAACATAGGATTTAAATCAGAGACTTCTGAGAATTGGTTCTGTTCTTACTAACAGTATTTGGATGTTCTTGGACCTTGAGAAGTTCACTCAAGAATTTCAGTTTATACAATTTTTGTCAGTTTTAATTTTGACCATAAGTCATAAGGACTATGGGGTTTAAATAGAATTGGCTGGTGGAAAATAGTTCTTGATCATTCATGTAATGGCATTATCAATTAGTTTGTAATTTTTTTAGGGACCAAGAATTTAAGTAATTCTTGAAGTTGTCAGTTATGTGTATCTATCAGTGTTATCAATCTGGGAAAGGACAAATAACTCTGGATCTTTCAAGTAGAAGGATTACAGGGCATTGGTCTCATGGGTGATGGTACCAAAGCTAAGAAACCAAAAATGATGGTGAGGTAGTCCAGAGATCAGCAAGAACTGGAGGTGATACCACCCCTCAGATGGAAGGGACAGGAGGAGGAAGTGGTGTTACTAGTGTCCTAAAGCCAGAAGACCAAGAAGATACAATCACTGGCAGGGACACAGGAATGGGGGTGGGACAGAGTGATAAATACCATATTCTCTCTCCTGCTCTGATTTTACACTGTTGCCTCCCTGGAAATCAGTGAGTGAGGGTACATGGGAAATGTGGTTCCCAGTGAAGCAGAGCAGGGGAAGAGTAGAGAAATGGATTTGAGAGCCAACAGGCAATTGTGACCAACAGTACTTAGGAAAACTATTGATCGGCTTGCAGTGAAGGAGTAACTGTTTACTAGATGGAAATCTCAAATTTCTTCACTTAATTAATTTTTAATGGCAATATTGTGACACACAGAGTCAAAAATTTCCTACCATAGAAATCCTTCAAATTTTCAAGTCTTTTTCAAAAACAAAAGAAAAAACTCATACCCCTTTATTCAAGGAAGGATTCCTTATTTACTAATTAGATGTTTATGATGCTGGGGTTCCTGTTTGCGGAGTCAAAGAATGAACTAAGCAAATGCCCAAGGTAGGAGAGCCAGGGAGAGGCTTTTATTGAGAGATACAGCGAGAGGACAGCTCCTAGCTCATGCCAGGAGGGCACAAGAGAGTCCATGATGGTGCATTGTCTAGGGGATTTATAGTTGGTTGAGGATTTTCAGGAATGTGGGTAAAGGACTAGGAATGCAGACTTGAACCACCTGCCCTGCTCCCAAGGTGCGCTAGGTTGTTGTCTGTTTGCTAGGGCTGTTGAGTTGGTGAAGTAACGGGTTATGCTGAGATACCCTTCTTTATTTGTGGAAAACTCAAACATTCCAGACCAAGTTGCTCCTGGCCTTTTGAGCTTTAACTGATCTCACTGAAGATGTCTATGTTCCTAGTCTGGTATCTTTACCCTAGAGAATTAGTGTGACCTTGACTCTGCATAATGCTTAACAGTTTCGATAGGAACTTATTTGCACATTGTTATATTGTTCTATAGTTATCTTGCTTTGCTTTTTTTTCCCAGAGGCCCTTACCCTACTCTGCCTAAACCCACAGTCCCTGTCTCATTTACATCACTTTGCTAAATACTAGGAATAGTGAATAAGACAGTATTCTCAAGGAGCCCACAGTCTATTGGAGATGTAAGTACAGTAGTTATGAGTTGTGTAAGTGCAGTTTGGGGGAAGTACCATAGAAGCTCATAGGATGGCATTTTAGCTAAGGTAACTGTGCTACTTTGAGTCCTTGAGAAAGCAGACAGCAAACTGGGATTAGAGACATGAGCTAAGGAAGAACAGTGACCCACCCACCCCACCCAAACATATCCATGTCCTAATACCAGAAACCTGTGCCTATGTTACCTTATATGGCAAAGGGGCCATTGCAACTGTGCTTTAATTAAGGATCTTGAGATGGGGAGATTATCCTGGGTTGTCTGGACAGGTAAAAATACACGAGTCCTTTCCTTTTAAGAGAGAGGCAGAAAGATTCAGTCCAAGATGTGATCACTGAAACAAAAGTTGGAATGATGTTAGCCCATAAAGCAAAGGCAGGCAGGTGGCCTCAAAGCAGGAAAAGGCCATGGATTCTCCCCTAGAGCCTCCAGAAGGCCCCTGGCCCTGCCAACCCATTTCACACCCGACCCCAGAACTGTAAAATAATTTGTGTTGTTTTAAGCTACTAAGTTTGTTGTAATTGGTTACAACAGTGAAAGAAAACGAATACAGGAAGCAAGAGCCTGTGATGCAAAATTTTAAGACACGTGCTCTCAAGGGAGGCTATCAGTGAATATCTACTATTGATCTTGTTTTGATTTGACTGGGCCACAGGGTGTGGTTACCTGGGCAAGCATTATTCTGGGTGTTTCTGAGTGCATCTTTAGATGAAATTAACATCTAACTCTGTAGACTAAAGCAGATTGCTGTCTCTGATGTGGGTGGGCCTCACCACCTGAAGGCCTGAGTAGCATTTCCAGGAGTAATAGAGAATTCCTCCTGCTTGACCGCCATCAAACTGGGATATCAGCTTTTCCCTGCGTTTGGTCTCAAACTGGAACTTAAGCTCTTCCTGGGACTTCAGCCTGCCAGTCTTCAGACTGGAACTACTATCACTGGTTTTCCTGGTCTCCAGCTTGCCCCTTCACCTTGCAGATCTTAGGACTTGATAGCCAATTCTTCACAATAAATCTCCATCTGGTTCTTTTCTCTGGAGAACCCCAATACACTCAACAGATCTGAGAGGCACTGCTTCATCACCTCCACAGTCCACCTTTTACACGTGCAACTCTCCACACAGATTTGGGAGACCCTCCCCTATGGTTGGTTCCTTGACCCTCTCTTGCTAAAGGGCAACTTAGAAAGAGGATGTTAGTGAAATGAACTATAGCCCAGGTGATCTCAGGGCCTCAACTGGTACTCATCTCTTCTCCCTGCCCCACCTTGGCAGGTTTTCATGGCTTCCTTGATGGAGTAACCTAAGTATTCTTGAAGGGTGCTAGCAAATAAACATGAAAAGGTTTGTTTAAAATTGTCTATTAATTTGTTTCTTATTTTGTCTCATTGATTTCAATTTTTTGGTCTTAAGACAATCATTTGAAAATAATTTTTAAGGTAATGTTAAATAAGAGTATATAGATTAAGGTAATCCAGTGAGTAGGTCTCAATTTACCAAACTACATAGTCTTCTGAGACACAGCATCTTTCTTTTGCTAATAAGGTAAAACCACTCATTCAGATCTCTATGTCCTTACCTGCCATATCCCCTAGAGGAGCAAGAATAATCATATAAAGGGCACAAACATTTTTTGCCTTCATTGCATCAGGCTGTCCCCAATTCAATAGGTTACGTAAATAAATCTGTTCGAGAAACAGCTTTTCTTGGTAAAAACAAATCAGAATTTGTGTTTTAGCTTTGTCAAAACACACAAAGAAAATAAATAAAAGTGTAGACTCAGTTCAATAAATTTTTATTGAGCTCCCACAGGGTGCATGATTTAGCTTCTATAATTTACATAAGTAGAAAAGTGTTACATTAGCCCCTCAAAAATAAAAATAAAAAGCAAATTACAATTTATGTATTTCAAGTGAATCATTTAATGAGTGAGGCTCAGTTTGATATTACCATTAGTATTAACACAAGAAAGTGGGAAAATATAAACATCTTCCCTTCTGCCAAAAAAGGGCTTGATGAGATAAACTAGCCTGTTAGTCTAATAGGGGTGATCAAAAATGCTAGAGAATCCAGAAGTAATAAATGTACTTGGAAGCACTGTCCTCTGCGGGCTCATTTGCCTGAGGGCAGCAAAATGCTGAAAAATTTAACTGGCTCAAAAATCATATTGAGAGATCCAGAAGAGGAGTTAGTCACAGCTTGGGAAAAAGTTTGAGAACATATGCTACTAAGACAGATTAATAATTTTGAAGCTTCCCTGTAGTTATAATGTAACTGAGCTAACCAAAGGGGCTATAATTTCATACTCCTTTGAACAGAGTGGTTTTAAATGACTAGGTTCTCCAGTGCACCAAGTGTATTTTCAAGTATAATTCTATTATTTGTACCTAGCAAAACAGAAGAAAAACCAGCAGGGAAAAAGTATCAAGTATATAGGACGTAAAAGGATTTGGCAGCCCTAGAATTCCCAGTTTGAGTCTGTTTCATCAGAAAAGTCACGTTCTGGCACAGTCCAAGGTGACGCTGGAGGCGGCGCTGTTGATGGCTTGTGATAAGCAGGAGGCAACAGGGCAAGTATTGAATCCTGGCTTTCTTCTTTCATCTGTTAAAAAAACTCAAGGCTGTTGGTATATAAAGTCAATACACTAGCTGTGTTAGCAATAAATAACTTTTAAAGAAATCATGTTAAAAGTGTTTAAAATTGTTTAGGTATTTTCACTAAAAAATGCCTTTGATTATGGTTATCTGAAAACAGGTAGAAATAACAGCCAAAGAAACTGATTTTTATCAGAATTATTTTGCCCTTTCATCAATTCTAGCCAATATAGAAAAATAAAATGTAAATTAATCAAAATACAAACTGAAGATATAGTAACATATACTGATGATATTGTTTATTTATACTTATTTTGTTTTACAGAATGGAAATATTTTAGAAAGTCTATAACTGACCTACCAAAAGTTTTCTTGTTTTTAGCTTTACTTTGTAAAAAAGTTATTATTTAGATTCTGGTAACCAAACTGTCTGATTAAGCCAACAAAGTGAAGTGACTTTTTAATAGGATTTAAAGCATTTAGACAACAGAAGACAGATCAGCTTACCTGTTTGAAGAAAACATGGGACAATAAACTGCTTGCTGATGGCCTGAAATTTTTTTAAGAGTTATTAAAAAATAGAACCTCATATTAAAATATAAATTTTTAGGTATAAAAATATATTGAAATTAGGTTTAGAGTTATAAAACAACACTAAGAAATTAAAAGGAAAAAATATGTCAGGAAGTTCAATTCTTAGCTTCAGACTTGACTAATGGGAAGAATTGTAGAGATATTCTTCAGTTGGTCCATATCTCAAAATTTATTGGGCACTAGATAATTATAAGGGACTATGCTATGCATTAAGCGGCTAAAAAAACATAAGACACACACCTTATTTCCAAAATACTACTGCTAATATATAGTTATCTTTGATAATTTACATTATAATAGCAGCAACTAATATTTTGTATTGCTTGGAAGTTTCCAAAATGCCAACATAAATGCAGTAATTAATGTCCAGAAAGATTAACTGATTTTTTTACAAGGTTACTTGGTTAGGAAAAGGATATGGCTGAGAATGGAGCCCAGGTCTTCTGGCTGTGAACCCAGTATCCTTCCCATTTAACTCACTGCCTCTACTTGTTTTTAGCATTGATATTTTATGGATTAAACTATAATTTTTGACCAAAAGATAAATGATTTGAATTTGGCAGGAAGGGAGGATCACAAAGCTTCTATAAAATATAAAACCCATAATGTTTATTTAGAAGTGATGAATATTACCTTTTCTCAGGATCTTGTTGCAAACAGAGCTGTACCAAGCTAAAGAAGGCAGGAGAGAACGTTTTTGAGGATGGCGTTTGCAGTCTGTCACTATTTACTGTGCGAGTCCCACTGGAGACAAGTACACTTTCTCCAATCCCAGAGTCTACACCTGATCGGGAATTTTTCATGCTGGATTCTGATTGAGGGAAAATACTGATATCCAATGGGCTATAAGGAGGACCTTTTAGTTTCTGTAACAGCATCTAAAAGAAAAAAATTTCCTTCAACCCTCATTCCNAAAAAAAAAAAAAAAAAAAAAAGAAAACCTTCATTCAGGTAAAACAACCACCACCACAATAAAGATCCTGAGTCTACAGCAAAGGTGTTTAACAGAAATTGTCTAGAATGTAAGGGATCTCATGAAAGGAAAGTAGTTCAGGGATTTTAGTACCATTTACCTGAGTTCTATGCATGTCCTGGAAGGGTACCCGCCCACTGGCCAATTCACATGCTGTAATTCCAACACTATAAATATCTGACTTTACATTATATCCATGTAAATCCTGTAAAACAATTAATTTGAAGTCCTTTAGTATAAATAACAATAAAAAGCTACACACATGTACTTTTTTGATAAGCAATGGAGAACAATGGAAAAAACTCATAAGTGAAAAATCAAGATAGACCTAATAAGTGGTATGCATTTTTAAATTCCTAACAAAATAATTTTAACAAGAAAGAGAAAATTCTTGCAGTAGGCCATTCACCAATCCAAATATTAGGACACACTGTCCTTTGGTCAGGCTCAGAAGACACTTGAGATGCACAGACAACCCAATGCAATGGCCACACCTGACCTGTCTCAGTAGTTCTGGACTCAGCCACGGCTGCACTGATGTGCTGAACTGTGGGAAATCATACACAGCCCTATGCCTCTGTCCATGCTTAATCAAACTATGCAGATGGGACAGGCCAGAGAGGGTCACTAGGCCATCACCAGAAATGAGGATATGGCTGGCTTTAATACTCCTAGAACAAAAAGAAACAATCCTAAATACTAGGAAATTAGCCAATGAAAAGAAGTATGGTCAGAACAAATCTGTGTATTCTCCTGGAAATTAGACACTCTTTATAAAATAGCAGCACACTGCTACACATACACACACATGCACATACACACACACACACACTGTAAAATGTTTAGGGAATTAAGGGATCCTTTCAGCTATTTAATAGAACATAAACAAGGGAAGATATAACTGACAGCTATAGTTTAGAAGTGGTAATATTTTCTTCAAACTAAGAATGGTATCAACTGATTAATTTCACTATTTTAGGATGCTGCTGCAAAACACATCTAAGAAGTCTAAAAAAAATCTAACATATTTGAAGCATAAAGTTAGAATTTAAAGTTAAATGCAATATTATCCAATAAAAGCCTCTCATGGTTTTAACATCATTTATAAAGATAAAGTCTTATACAAAAATTTCCTTTGTCAAATATATTATAGAAGAGCCTTGCTTTTCATCCAAAACACTGAATTTGTACACCAACACAGTAGGATGGCCAATAATCGGGAAAGTATAAAAAAACCTTGATTAAGAATGCAATCTGTTCACTATCAGTTAACTAGAACACTACTTAAAAATAATGCACAGTAATAAGAGAAAAGCTTTAAGACTGAAACAAACAAGAAGAAAACAAGCTTATTTAGAAGTAACTTAATTAAAAAGGAAACGTCCCAATGTATCTTAGAACAGCACTGTTTTTAACATTCATCCAGTTACTTCTGTCTCTATAGTTTAGTAACAAGAGGATTGATATTTGGTATGATTGTCCAAAGGTCATGCAAAATATTTAAGAAGTCAAAGAAAGTTTTAGTTACAATTTGCACTGTTATAATTATGACATAAAGCTGAAAAGCAGATAAAGCAGCTCTTTATTTGCTTAAGAAGCAAAAGGGCTACCTAGAATCCCATTCTCTATAGCTTATACCCCAGACAGGTTCTTCTATCCCTCCCTGCGGCCGGAGGCTCCGTAAGGACAGGTACTCCACCCGGCACTGAGCAGCCCTTGGCACAGAGGTGGTGGTCTGACGTCTTTGGTGAGTGAACATAAAATGCAAGCATCTACTGAATCTATCAGCCCCTCTTCCCTCCGTTTTCACTAACAAGTTTCTCATCACTCCTTTCTAACATTCAACTTTTCCTTCCTAAAATCTCCCTAAAGGATTTCTTCCACTAAAGCTCTTTCATTTTGTAAAATAGAAGTAAATAAATACCTGTGAATATAGCCATTTTGGTGTAGATAGCTCAACCCTCTCACTGCTCCAAAGAGAATGTTTCTTATTAAAGTTTCACTCATTCCCTCAGGAAAGTAAGTCTTCAGGAGTTCACTTGCTGACCCTGAAAGAAACCCCTGAAATCTTTAAATGAACATCAAAAGTGATTTTGCTTCTAGCTATGTTCTAAATGTTTTCAACTATAAACACATATTATTTTACCTTTTGGAGTCTAACCAATTTCTTATGCAAAGTTTAACTTTGCTTCAAGAATCTTTAAAAAGACTTTTCTAATGACACCCTAGATATTAGGAAAGAGGATTAACAATTTTCAATATTACTGAAAAAAATAAATACTATGTGACAATTCACAAAAGCTGTCCAAAAACTCAAAGCTCTGGAATCCATTCATAAAAAAATCCATCCATTAAAAACATGTATTTAACACATGTACTGAACACTACTCTGTGCTAGGTACTACATGAGCACCTGGAGACAACAAAATAAAAAATACACACATGATCCTGCCTTCAAGAAGTTCAAGTCCAGTGAAGGAGACAAGTTCACACACAGATGTTTACAATACCAAGAAATAAGTTTACAGTGTAGAGAAAAGGAACAGAAATGGTGGGCACAGGTGGAAAAACTACTGCTTGAAGAATAATAGTAACTTTCCATTGAGAGAGAGGAAACAAACTGAAGGGAAGAGACTGCTTGCTCCAAGGCATGGACTTCTTGGAGAAACAGTAATGGTTTCATTGATCAGACCCATTCTACTTTTTTTCTGTAGACTAAAATTCAACAAGAACCAGATATAGAAATAAAATGTGAGATCTAGAATTGACCATCAGATTTATAAATTAAAAATAATGAATCATAAATCTGAGATCTCATTTATCCTCTTATTTATAGCATCCAGGCTAAACAATGAGTTACTTGATTTAAAACAAGTTTTCTTACCATAGGCCATAAATGGAGAAATAACCCAAAGCCAGCTGCCAACAGTGAAAACAGTCCAGTAAGTTGTAATATTGGGATGTCGGAAAAAGTGGGATAGAATCACTGCTTTCTAGGAGACACAAGAGGCAAGATATCTGAAAGCAACCTTTTTTTCCTTATGATGAAGATAATAGCAGTAGTGGCAGCTTAACACTCAACGGAGCTTATCAGTACCAAACATCATTTTTAGTGCTATCATCTCTTTAAGTCTCACAACCACTATACAAAGTATGTGATGTTTTAGTTCCCATTTTACACAAGAGGACACTTAGAAATAAGTTAGAAAACTTGTCTCAAGGGCATGTAATTAATAATAGAAGTGGGATGTGAACTTTGATAGTCAACTGTACTATATTCTTATAGAAAACATTTAAAAATACATAAAAATTGCATATAAAAGTCACTTCTAACACTACATAAGAGAGAACCACTGTTAATATTTCAGTATAATTTCCTCCATCTTATTTTCTATGCAACAGACACGTGCACATATAAATATTTTTTAAATTAGGATAATACCAAAACAAAATCCTTCCCCTCTTCATATCAAAAATGATCAGTGCCACTCAAAATGGTATTATAATATTCCTGAAATGCAATTCTATTAAAATTCATCAATTCAGAAGTTAATGTTAGTTAGCTGGATGAAAAAAGAAACTGTTTGCTCGTTTTTCTATTTCCCTATATGACCATTTGTGATTGCACTGACTAAGGGTATTGTAAATCTCCAGACCAGCACTTCAAATGTGATACTTACTAGAAGATAGTAGTTACCAAAGTTTGAATACATTTGTTCTTTCAAAATATTCTTACAGATGTGATCTCAAAGAGATGTTACATTAAACACATCATTTTTTTTTTGTACCTGTAAAGCTTTTAGGCGTTCTTCAGTGCAGTTTTCCAGATTTGTAATTTTTATAGTCACCAGTGTTCCTGTGGGAGTATGGCGTGCAAGATGGACAGAAGTTAAGTTGTCAAATCCTCTTCCTATAACCAGATGTAAAACTCTTTTTAGCAGCAAAGAAAAAAAATGGATAATTTGGACTTTATCAAAATAAAAAACTTCTGCTCTTCAAAGAAACATTGTTAAGAAAATGAAAAGGCAAGCCACTGATATTTTTACCTTTCTTGGATTGACACCATCTGAACCTTCTTTCTAATTTTGAGGCATTCCACCAGTTCTGTATTAGAAAAGGTCAGATCCTTATTCTCTCTTGGTCTCCCTGACGCTAATATGGAAGGTCAATGAACTAAGTAAGTCTGGCCAACAGAGGATGGAGTGAGAGACAAAAAGAAGCAGGGACAGTTAGAACTCACTGCAGGGTGCCCAGTATCTGGTGGGTTAAGCACCCTACAAGGTAGTACAGTAAGTGGGCTGCTCCTATGCCATGGCCCTGGCTATGGTTCTAGTCACAGCTTCTCTTGGTCTTTTCCAAGCCTACTGTTCCAGCCTATAATTCTTTGAGTAGCAATATTGTTCAAAAAATTCCTCTTTTGCTTCAGTCAGTCAGGATTGTTTTCTGCTGTTTATGACAAAAACCCTGAATAGAACATTGAACAAATTATTCCTCATTCTTCAGGATTTTTCTGTCTTTCAAGAAAGAGAGTTGGATGCTCAATCTTCTCTTTTCCCGTAAGACTTAGCACACCTCACCTATAGTACCCTCTAGTGTGTAACACAAAGTTATTTTACCAGACAGAATGTCGACTCTTCAAGTGTTTTGCATGGTTTTATATCCCTAGTGCCTGACACAGTATCTGTTTGTTGCATTTAACAGATGTTCTTGAATATTCAGGGCAAATGTTTTATAGTTATAAGGCTATAGACAATAATCCATCCTGTTCCAAACTTAACTGAGAAAGGTTTCGACTACAAATGGGATTTGGGCAAGTTTTTAAGTAAAAAAAGAAAGTAATTTAGTTAAAGGATGGTGACTGAAGATTCACATGATTTAATTTTAATTCATACCCAGTATAAATTATAGACATACAATTACAAATTTCCCACAACAAAGATGCAAAAAATAAATATTAGATTCCTTAGTGTCTTCCTCCTCTAAAAGATCTTCAGTAAAAATTCTAGAACATCATCTTCAAAAAAACCTGGGCCACTATTTTAGGACAGACATCAAATTAATAGATCCATTTGACTGATACAATTACCATCTAGTTTTATGCTGTAGGTGACAACAGAAAAAAGACCTGCTTACAAATTAATCCTTTTGTCATTAATTTTGTTCCTAACAATGAAGGGTCAATTATGTGAAATTCATGATTATTACCTATTTCCACTTGAAATTCATAGTGAGAAACGTTGGTGGAACAGATCACTGCATTGGCTGTAACAGATGGAGGCAACTGGGAAGGGGTTGGCTCATGAACCTGCATTGATTTAAAAAGATAAAAACCAAACAGGTATAAACTTTATTTGGCTCCTAATTTGGCTCCCCTCCCCCAGTAAAAAACACTGATATATTGTATTTTCAACTTACAAGTGCTCATTAGGAAGACAATGAAGAGACTGTTAAGAGACTGTATTAAGATCTAAAGGGAGTTCGCAATTGCTATTAAGTGATGTTAGTTAGAAAGCTATCATCTTGTAAAGGGGAAGAGGGCAGGAAAAACAGATATACAGGTAGCCAAGAATACTTTCCAGCACAATTTCCAGTAAGCACTTTAGGAGCTGCTAGGAGTGGTTAATTCTTTAAGGTATCTAATGAATGTATCAAGGGAAGAGATGCAGAAACATGTAAGGGATAGTCTATGCTTGTGCCCTGACTTCAAGTGGTCGGCAGTTGTATCCATTACAGAGAGGTACCTGCTCAACGAGTGGAGGTGTTAAAAATCAAGGAACAATTTCCACACTGCAGCTCATTACAATTGCAAGGAGGTCAGAGACAGAGAGAAAAACAAAAGCCTCAAAGAGATGGAAGAATAGGATACAGACCTCCGGTGTAAATAACCATGTACCAATATGGGGGTCTCAAAGGTGCTTTCAAGTCAGAGTCCTGGAATTGCACCAGCTCCCAGTGGCATTGAAATAACATGCATGTAGGAAAAAGAAGAAGCTGACACCACTGGCATTGTATGAGAGACATGAGGACCTCCTAAAGGACACCAAATGACACTTAGGAGTCTTTATAGGTACTAGCAGGTGACAGGCTTCAGACATGGGATATTTGAGCTAACTCTTTATGGATGAGGAGGAATTCTAGAGGCAGAAATGGAAGAGTAATTCAAGCAGAAAGAAGAGTATGTGCTAAGACTCAGTATCAAGAAGTGAAACACAAAAGTCAGACATAATCGAGACCACTAAGAATTCTTATACTATGCTAAGACATTTAGACTTTATCCCATAGACTTCAGGAAACCAATAAAAGTCTTACAGATGGACAGTGATACAAGCAAGCCTATACTGGTAACAGCACTGAATACTGATCTGACTGTGAAAGGAAGTTACACGGATGTCTGGGAAACTAGAGGAAATGAGTCCATGTGCAACAGCCCAGGTGAGAAATGATGAGATTTGAGTAGCTGCAGTGATCAGGTGAAGGTGGAGATGGACTCAAGGGCATTTCGGAGACAGATCTGTAAGACTTGGTGTATAAAAGAGGTGGGGGAAGAGGTAGACCCAGTATGAGGATAACTCCGAAGTTTCTAATGACTTAGCAGATGGGTTTTCATTACCCAAAGCAGGAAATACAATGCATCGGTGAAGTTTAAGAGAGGATTAAGGTTACATTCAAACTGCACAAAGATGCCTTTGAAAACTCTAACCTGAAGCACTGTATAGACATATCTGGTGCCCAGAAAAGAGTCTGGGGTTGCAAGTAAAAATTTAAGAAATCAGTCCTGCTTGATGCCAGGGTCCCTTCATGACAGGAAGGAAAACCTGAGATGGCTACAGTACAGTCTGAAATCTGAGCAACTGAAGCCTAGGAAGAGGTGAAACTGCTTAGGGAAAGCTAGTTTAGGTAGAAGAGAGAAGACCAATTATAGACTTCCGGGGAATAGCATAAGTAGGAATAAGATGCAGTAAAAGAAACTTTAAAGAGAAAGAGATGTAGAAGAACCAGGAACTATATTCTGCAATATGGTAATACAGAAGGCAAAGAATAGTATTGATTGTAATGCAATTTTCTTACCAAGTGTTGATGGACACTGGTCTCAGACTGTTTTTCAGGTCTGAGTGATTCAACTTGTGTTCGTGAAGTGCAGAAACAATCCTGGAAATTCAGAAATGCATTAAGTAAGTGAAAAACAAGTCACAAGATAAGTAGGGGTGGTGTGTGGATAAAAAAATGGTCTGGTTCCTGGGATGAGGAGCAGTGAGAAATGGCAGCATGCAGGAACCTGGAACTGAAGCCAGGATCCGTACAGTGGAGGTACTCAGTATGGGAGAGAAGGGAGAAGCAGTGAGGTATGCAGAAAACAAATCTAGTCTCTGTGTAATTTTAGTTGGCACTGTCTCTGATCTTTGTCCTCTCCTCTGGTGGTCATAATATTCATTCAATTTTACTGCTGGTGTTAATTTTTAACCCTTTCAACATCTTTCTAGTTTTCTTCTTGAGTATTTAGCTAAAGAGTATTTTGCTCTTCTCATTAATAATCATTTTTATTTTGATCCTGATTTTTTTTTCCCCTTAGGAACCATGTTTATCCACATTAAATCACACACTGAGTGTATTTGGAATCAATGTTGTTTCCTAAGGTACTTAACATCTCTAACTTCAACTCAAAGCAAATCCAAAGAGACTTAGCTCCATTGTCACACACTTCACATTTTCTTACATTTTAACACAAGGTCCTAGTATCACACATTACCAATAAAGAAATGTAATATATTGTATGACTCATCTCATTATCAATTACTTGGGTGAAGCTGACTTTATACTATTTATGAAGAAAACATATGTCAAAATAAAAGTCTAAACAAACTGTATGAAAAAGACTTTTATAATAGATTACTTTCAAGCATTCCATGAATGTTATTTTTATATGATCATTAAAGTACTAATATCAAAGGAGTCTGTAGGATAAGTCCCTCCATGTCTATTTACCAATTTGTAGTCAGTAATCAAACGTCCTTTCTTTTAAAATATGCCAGAATTTCTCACTAATCAAACTAGTCATTTTCTTAGCTTAAATTACTGATTATTTTAAGTTGAATTCCTACAGTCTGTATACCTTATAAATGTCATCACAATAATTTGATGTATATCTCGATAAGTTTTATGTAAAGAATAGAAGCTTACAATGTCAAGATAGCTATAGAATCATTTCCTTTGCAAAGTTTCTGTTGGTTTGTTTAGAGTGAATAAAACTTATAATAAAAGTTTTTGAAGATAGTTACTACTGTTGGTCATATTGAAAATAACCACCAGTGAGGTAATTTATATATTTGGTAATTACATATAGTTTGCAACATTTGCCCTGAATCTTTCACAATAATCATTAATATCATTGTACAGAAAAGAGTTAATACAGCAGGCCTAAAATATCCTTGGAAAATCGCCTTCTTGCAAGGTTGCCCCTTAACTGGTATCTGGGAACTTGGATTTTGAGAGAGTTCCCACAATTCCATGACAAGAACGGATTGTGGTGCCAAGATAGTTTGTGCAAACAATATGGTTTATGCTGAATACTTGCTTTTTCTCTGGGTGTCTGGAATTTTGTTACCTCCTAGCAAAAGGCACCTACATGACCAATCCCCAATAAAACTTCTGAGAATGTGTGTCCAGTGAGATTCCCTAATATGCAACATTTCACACATGTTGTCATAACTATGGAAGAATTAATAAGCACATCCTAGGTGACTCCACTGAATTCTTGGCAGTTTGTGCCTGGTTTCCTGTTAACTTCACTCCATGTATCTTTTCCCTTTGCTGATTTTGCTTTGTATCTTTTGGCTATAGTAAATCTTAGTTGTGAGTATGACTTTATGCTTAGTTTTGAGAGTCTTCCTAGCATATCATCAAACAACGAAGTGGTGTTGGGGGACCTCTGACACAGCTATCAAAATACATTCAAGCATACAAAGAATCTTTCTTGTTAAACAATTCCCATCACTTTTTCTGATGGAAGAGAAATTAATGTAAGACAAATCTAGAACATTTTAAAAGACTTAAATTGACCCTAGTTGATTTTCAAAATAAGAGTTGTGACCCATGTATTCAGTTTATAGAAATATAAAAAACATTTTATAAAATAATATGGTAGACTTCCATTTCATTATCTTTACATATAATTTTCACAGTGCAAGGATGTGATTGCTATTATAAACATGTCTTCATAACCAGCCAGTATTACAAGGCAGAATATTTTTGTCCACCCCTCCTAAAAAAGGTTAGCATGTTCATTAGCTGCCTAGGTTACAATAATCACAAAATAGTCATAGCTTATCCTTAAAAACATTTTAATGCCCACACTAAATCAATTGGAGGATGGTAGATACATCTACAAAATAATATCTTTTAGGCAACATAAATGATTTAAAGTCACCCAGAAGCTCCTCCCAAACATTTTTTAATGTAATTTTTTATCCATTACCATAATGGCCAAGTGAAAAGCAGCTATACCTTGTGGAAAATCTAAAGGAAAATATTTTACTTATGCTGCTGCTTTGAAAAACACCATTTCTTAGCTCTTAAGGAGAGGGTAAAACATGAGTGGGGAGGAATCCTTCATAAGTAAAAACATCAACTTTATCTCAGTTGCATAAATATTTAGAAAAAACATGGATATTTGGAGTCAGAAAATTCTACATATTCCATCATTGCAGAAAGAATATAATTTAAAGTAAAATTATTAACAAATTGAACAAGTATAAATCACCCATTATCATCATATAATCTGTAATTAAGGAATCAAACATTAAGTAAGATCTTTTTTTTTCCAAAGCTTAGAAGCCCTGGGTGTCCACACAGCCCTCTGAACTTCAGCATCTTCTATCAAATGTCCTTTTATGTCTCATCTGACTTACAAATTGACATTAAATTGTTAATCTTAAATAATCCTTTAGAGGAGGTGTTGGCACACTATGGTCCATGAATCTGATCTACTACCTGTTTCAGTGAATATGGCTTTACTGAACACAGACACATTCATTTTTATCCATTTACATATTGCCTATGACTACTTTCACACTGAAACAACTGAAGAGTAATTTTACAGAAACCACAGAGCACACAAATACTACCTGGCCCTTCACGGAAAAAGTTTGCCTAACCCTGCTGTAGAAAAAGTATTCCACCTCAATTTATTTTCCAGATAAATAAAGCTACACTTTTAAGTAGAAAAGCTTTACTTTAGACATAAAGTAAATGCCTTCTGTATTTTCATGTAACTAACAACACAGGCTCCAACTTCATAGTTCTCCCTCTCAGACTTGATGAAAGTTGGAGTGGATTGGCAGATATGAGTTTGGGACCTGGCTCTAATTCTCTGTGATCTTGGGCCAAACTCAAAATGAGGATTATGCCACCTGCCCTGCCAGTCACTCAGTTTTTAAGATTGAAAGAGATACGTGAATTTATCTGTAAACCAAAATCATCATATAAATGCACCCAGCACTTTTTAAAAGATCAATGCTTTAATATAATCACTCAAACATTGTGTTATATTCTATATAAAATATGATAAAAATCCTAAAACTACTTAATCTAAAGTGGATACCATGGATCTAATATAGAAAAATTAGTACCTATACATCATATTATACATTGCCCAAATGTTTTCTACCTTATTGTTAAGTCAAGGGCTTATTTTTAATACTATTTTGCTTGCCTTTAGTCATATAGAAATTTGTAAAATAGATTTTTAAAAGATTTAAAGGATAAGGCACAGCCAACTGGATGGGAGAGGCATGTCTAAGAGCAGTAAATGTAACAGAAAAAGTGGGTATGGGAGAAAGGACTAGAATAATGACTATATCAGAAAAGCATCTTCTTTTCTCTTTTAAAGAGACACAAACTCAATCAGAATTTAACTCATTTCTTAAGACCAGAAGTCATTCTGCACTAACTACTCTGATGGCACAAAATTAGACCCACATTAATAAAAACTTACCAAAAGAGACATTGAATCGCTTTGGTTCACAGAAAGTGACAGAAATCCATCTATTTCAAGAAGATTTTTGCTTTATCTCTGGGATGCAGAATATCCTACTATAAAAAAAATAGATTTATGTAAAAGTTCCTTAAAGAACTAGTTACCATAAACCCACGTGTTATTTAGGCAGCTATTCTTTGACACAAGCATTAGAGACATTCCTGAGAAGTGTCTTTAAAAAGCACTTCAGTTTACCCAACACTGTTAGGGATCTGACATCACAACATAGAGGAGAGTCAAGTTGAGGAGAGGTTCCTTAAAGAACTAGTTACCATAAACTCACGTGTTATTTAGCCAGCAGTGTTATTCTTTGACACAAGCATTAGAGACATTCCTGAGAAGTGTCTTTAAAAAGCACTTCTGTTTACCCAACACTGTTAGGGATCTGACATTACAACAGAGAGCAGAGTCAAGTTGAAGAGAGGTTCTTAGTATTTCCAAAGGCCCATATACCTGCATCTCTCCTTCCCTATCTTTTCTATACTACTTTTTAAAAGAAACCTAAGCAAATGTGAAAGCAATGTTGACCCCAACGATTCTACTTAAAAGTAAACTTTGAAGCTTCCAGAGCTTCCAGATTGGATTACCTATTAAATCATTTGGGATCTCTGATCAGGAAATTTGGGAAAGAATCAGGATTAGTAACAGACTAGGAATTAATTTTCTTGTTGCCATGCTTTTTTAAAGGAGAAAATATCCTTTTTTAGTTTTCATGTCAAAATAATATTTTCTGCAGGTGGAATACTCTTTACCTTATGATTCTTAGTTCTAATTCTATTCCTGGAATTTATTGGCAAATATGAAAAATATGTAAATTACTATACAAACAATTCCTGTCCACTTTCACTAATAGAGCATTAATTTCAGCAGTTTATGAAGACTCTGAAACAGATTCAGAGGTTTAAAATAGTAGCTTCTTCAGATTTAAGGACCGCCAAAAGTTTCCAGATCTTTCCTAACAGAAAGGGTGGCAGTGTTCTGAACTTGCTAGTTGCTGATACCTAACCACTATTGTCTCTTTTATCTAAATTGTGGTTCATTATTTCATTTTAATTAAGTTCCCAAGTTTGAGCAAGGCATTTTCAAATATCTGAGCAAAATGAGAAAGGAAGATTCTGTAAACCATAAATATTACAGAGTAGTATCCAATTTTGCTAAAGAAAAATGTAAATTTATTCACGATGTTCACTGTAAACCAAAGGAGAATAGGAAGAAGAAAAATCTGAAAAGTTATTGTCACCTGCCATTCATTATCATCAATTTAAGGCACTGGCATTTGTTGTGTTACAAAAAGGGGAAAGCCATACCTGCCCTGCTCACCTTCCAGGGTGACTGAGATCAAATAAGGTATTTCATCTGAAAGTGCTCATAACTACCAAATATGTATCAATAAAAGAGCTTGAGAGGATGCTCTGAAAGGTACACTTCAATATTATGGATGACAACACACAAAGATAAGGGCTCGTTTGGAAAACAAGTTGGCAGTGTTTTGTAACTGAGTATGTTCATACCTTTGCACTCAGTAAAATTCTCACTTCCAGTTATCTATTCTAAGGAAATACCCAAGCAAATGAAGAAATCATAAATATGTAGGAACTCACTACAGTGTTACCTGACAGTCAAGTATTCATTCCACAAGTATTTAATGATGGCAACCAGGGATTAGGCCCTGTGCTGAGCGCTGGGGACACTCACTGGTGATCAGTGCAGACAAGGCTCTACTTGTAGCTTCTGTTCCCAGAAGCAGGAAGATAAGGGATGTCACGATTAACTGAATCTTCTGGTTATCAGGGTTTTGTTTCCTGCTTTTTCCATTTAATATCAGTACCTTCTTTCTTAAACAACAAAAAAACTTTAAACTCCATTACATTTTCCATTTCTTAGAAAAACTCAGAAGAAACTGACAGTGTGAATTGTTAGTACTAAAGGGGTTGTCCCATGGGGTGGTTTAATCCCAGAGACAGATAATGCCAGACTTATTAAAGGATAATTTTACAAGACATTTTGAGGTCAAGGCAGCAGCTGTACGGGATAAGGGGTGGGGAGAGAGGGTGAGTAGATTTGCTGTCATAATTTTCTCTTGCATGCTCTTTCACTAGGGATGAATAGAAGTCCTTTTTTAAAAATCATACTTGAGACCTGTATTTCTAAGTGTATTCCCAATTACATCAGTGTGGTGGTCCCTCACAATTACATCTAAAAAAGCTAATGAGGATAAAGCCTTATACATGACTTAAATTTGTTCATAATAGAATGATTCTTCCGAAGACATTTTAATATGAAAGGTTAACACTTTCTGTGAAAATCAGAGGGCACTTCTATTTACAGAACTCGGGTTTCGAATAAAATTCAAACATCCAGCAGAGACCATTGTTACAGGGAATGCAAAAAAAAAAATCTTATTTTACTCTTTGTAGGGCATTAAATTACTGTAATTTTCAAAGTGATCTTGTGAGACCATAAAAATCTTAAAAATTATGGCGAAGCACAATTACGTAGAATTTTCCAAGCATAGTATCGTGATTCATGCTTTTCGAAAAATATTTACTGAACGCCTACTGTATGCCAGGCTACATGCTTATGTAGGCGTGGTGTCACAAATCCTGATCAAGTTTTGAGGGAAAAAGTACTTGACACAACAAACCCAAGAGGAAAAAACACAACGCTGAACTTAAATACCGAGGACAAAATGAAGCTTTAGCATTTAATTTTGTAAAAGGTTCCTTCGTAGTTCTGCTTTGGGAAGACCTTGCAGCAAACTCGCAGAAGGTGGCACCTAGAGCCGGGGCCTGAACGCGGCGGCCAAGGGTGAGAGCCGGGGGGGTCAGAGCGCGGCGGGCGGCCGGGGCCCGCGCACACGGCGCAGCCACACTAACAGGTACCGCCGCCCCGCACGCAGGTGCCTCCGCCGCCGAGCGGCCGGCGGGGCTCGGGGCAGCTGGCCACGCGAGCCAGATTCCCGCCACGGCTCCGCCGGCCGCTCGGGCTGGAGGCGGGGAGGCGAGTTCTAGCCCCCGGCTTCCCTAAGTGTGCGCGGACCAAGCCGCGCTCCCTCGGGTCCCGGCCGGCTCCTTAGACCTTCCCCTCCCCAGCCCGGCCTCCCCTCATTACCCAGGCGGCGACCACGGCCAGCGACTCTCCTCTGGCGGCCAGCGGTGCTGGGCCTGGGCGGGCTCGGGAGCCCGGCCCGCGGAGGGGCAACGCGAGCACGCAAGGCCCGCAGCCAGCACGAGCCGCGGGATGGAGCTGGGCGGCGCGTCCCGGACCCGGGCCGTGGGCCAAGAACTGTGCCCGCGCCTCGGGGGGTACTCCGGGGCGGGGTCGGCCCCGCCCCGGCCCCTGGGCCGCAGCCCCGCCTCAGGCTCCCTGTCCGGGACCAGGCAGCTGGCGGGAGGGGCCTTCGGGCTTGAGGGCGGGGCAGACGCCCGACAACTCTGGAGGGTGAGGGGCGGGGCCGACAGGAAACTACGATTCCCAGCAGGTCGTGCGCTGGCGCCGTGGAGGCTCCTGGGAGAGTGGGTGTCCTTTGCTCTTCCCAAATTGTGTGGGGGCTGCCATTGACCCGATGTCAGTGCAAAACTGTCTCCGAGTGGTGATGATGTGAAGTCGTCCTTCGGTCTCTGCCACTCCCGGGCGGTTTCTGGCAGCGGCAGCCGCGTCGGCTGCTGCTCGCAGGCTAACCGGCGCTTTACACGCTTCCCACTGCGGGAGAGCGGGTGGAGGACGAAGGACGCCGGATGCCGGGCCAATCCTGTAAGTAACCTTTCCGCGCACGACCCGAACTTGCCCTTGCCAACTTCCCCTGCGGACGGAGGAGCCTCCCCGCTCGGTGCTCCTCCCGGTCCTCGGAGGTCACCCGTGGACGCCAGTGCCAGAGGCTGGGTACCGAAGGGCTAGGTCATCGCCGGGTCCGCGTCCCGCGGTGGGAAGTGGGTTGTTTCCAAGTGTGGGTGTGAAGGGATGGGCCCTGGGCTCTGGCCTTCGAGTTCACCCTACTGCGCCTCTAAGAATTGGCAGCATCTCATGCTCCACCATCAGACTGGAGCCCCATCCCTGAGCGATGAGCTTCTTTAGTGTCTGGATGTTAAACCTTAAGCCTTGGTCACCATCTGGAATGTGGCCGAGAGGAAGAGGGTATTGAAAAAGCCCTATGTTCAGTCTTCTTAGGCTTTTCTTGCAGTTGACTTTGAGCCAGAACCACATGTCTTTTAAAAGAAATAGTTGACTTTAGTTTCAAGCGTTAAATGGTGGGTATTGGCGGATGTCCTTTTTAGTACCAGCATAATCTCTCAAACACTTGAAAAACTCCAGGGTCATTATTATAATAGTGCTGAACTCAGTTATTTTTCCCAGAACCTTTTATTTAAACCTGCGGTTTCTGCGCCGGAATAACAGAAACTAACTTTACACTGAGCTAGACTGGATCATTAGGAATAAAATAGAAATTTTCCAGTTTCATAAAAATTTATTTCAGTATGATTTTTCCCGACCTTCGAATCTTTGCTGTGGAATTGGAAGTTTGAGCGACAGTGATCTCCAAATAGCGTGTTAACGGTAGGAACGTGACACTTCAAATTGTGAAGGACATTTGGTGGTGAGAAAGAGCATGGATGAAGACACTTTATCGTCTCAGCAGTTATTCTGGTTTTCTACTTTTAGAAACAGAATAGAATAGAATAGAATAGTTCAGTAAGTCCTAGATATCAGCAAACACATAATATATGAAAGACAGTGTTTTGTTATTTTACAGATTTTTATTCTTATGAAGAAAAGGATCAGAGGAAACAAACATTAAAGTACTTTGAATCGGCCACCACTCCAGTCGTGAGCTCTACATACATTCGCTCACTTAATGACTATAATAACCCTGTTGTACTACTCTGAGGCTCAAAGACTTGCTTATCTAAAAGTGGAGATTCCAATTTAGAGCTGCTTGCTTCAAAGTTACAGGTGAAGTAATTTGTACCTACATCAGAAATTACTGACCTTAAAAGTTGAATGATTTAAAAGTATTTCTCAGGTTATTTCCTAATACTGATTCCTACACACCTTGGACATCTAGAGTAAGTCCTGAACCTCTGCTTTAGTACTTTTGAGCAAGTTGTGCTGTCTGCTTGCAATTCCCATCCCTCACACAGCTGCTCATTGAGATCCTAAAACCCCGTTCCAAATTCGTCTCAGTTTATTTAGGTAAGACATGATAGGATTGGATTTTCATCTCAAAGGTTCAGGTTCAAAGGTTTAGTGATTCTGTAATTGGAAATATGAGTCAGGGACTGTTCTCCACTGAGAGTGATTAACATCTATAGTTACAAAGAACGAAAAAACTTGTTTCCTAAAAATTTAACGTCAATACCCAAAATATGTCAAACACCAACATAAGGAATGAGACAGATGATAATGTATTATTTCATGTTTATATCATCTGTCTTTTAACCTTTTTAGGTACCATCCTGTTTAGTTGGTAAGAAATTCGAGGCATTAAAGCAGTACTCAACCTTTAAAATGACTTAGTAATTGAAGGAACTAAATTATTCATGGTTTCCAGTCGTACTTGTTAAGACCTGCAGTGTTCATGTAATAATAGGAAACATTTGTATAATATTTACTATGTGTTAGATACCTGTCTAAATGTTTTGCATATTTTAACTTACATTCACAGTAGCATTATGAGGTATTTTTACAGATAAGCAACAGAAGCAAAAGATAAGTTAACATACCCAAGGTCATTCAGTTACTAAGCAGTGGAGCAGGGTGTCAATCCCAGGCAAACTCGGAATCTTTACTCTGACATTTATTGAGCACCTGCTGTGTATCAATCCCACAATTGAATGGTTTTATTATAATTAGGTTATTTATCATAGCTACCTTATAGAGGATGAAAGTGCAGCATTTAGTGACTTGCCCAAAGTCACAAGATAAGTAAATGGTAGAGCCGGGATTTGAACCCATCCTTGCCTTTCTTCAAAGTCCATGTTCTTTCTTCTATTTTCCTTCAATAATCTAATCTTTATTAAATACCTTTGATGGGCTAGACACTGTGCTAGATGCTAGGGATTTAGTCTCTGCTTTTAAGAAATACAGTCTGAAGACAGATGATTGTAGTAGTGTTTTACTAGGATAGCAGCATACAGAGGTACTACAGGAATAGAGAGAAAGGGTGGTGGAATCTGCTTCAGTTGGGAAGGCTTGGGCCAGTCTTGGAAAAACAAATGGGACTTCGCCTGGGCAAAGAAAAGGAGAAGGGGTTGCTATGGGCTGAATGGTAACCCTCCAAAATCCATATGTTGAAGCCCTAATCCCCATAACCTCAAGAATGTGACTATTTGGAGATGGGGACTTTAAAGCGATGAGTAAGTTAGACCTTTAGGGTGGGTCATAATCCCTTTTGACTGGTGTTCTTATAAGAAGAAGAACTTTGGACACAGAGACACCAGGAATGTACACACAGAAGGGGAAAAAAAAACATGTGAGGACATGTCAAGAAGGTGGTCATCTACAAGCTGCAGGAGAAACCAAACCTGCTGGCACTGTGATTGTGGATTCCAGCCTCCAGAATTATACGATAATAAATTTCTGTTGTTTAAGCTCCTAGTCTGTGTCTGTTGTACTTTTTATTATGGCAGCCCTAGCAAACTAATATAGGGCATGTTCTAGCAAATGGAATGACATACAAAAATTCTTTGAGGTGTGACCAGGTGACTAGGTTTCATGGTAAGAAGTGTTGACAAATGAAGCTGGAGACTAAGCTGGGCCATATGAGGACAATTTTGTATGGCTTACTAGGGAGTTTCAACTTTACCCTTAGGATATGGGATGGAGGGGATTTGTAGCAATGGATAAACGTCAGATCTTCACTTTAGAAAGACTACTCTGTGAGCCTGCAGAGGATAGATTAAAGGGGGTAAGACTGGAGGCAAGGAGTCCCGTTAGGGGTCAGCTGCAACAGGAAGCTGAGCGATTTTCTCAGAATATTGAAATGTCAAACTAAAACATAACCATTGTTAACCTAAGGAAGATTTTTAAAGGGCACAGTTAACCCTTAGGTCATACGTAAAAAGATTGAGGAAGAATTTGTATATACCTGTTTTATACCTAGAGATGGGCTTTGCTTGTGACATTTTGTTTTCTGTATATAAAGCTGGACTCAGCTGTCACAGAATTTCCAGTATTTCTCCACTGCATTTAGTAGATACTTTTTTATGGTGCTTAAACTATTATAAGCCAAGTCCTCCAACAGCCTTATGAGCTACTGATTATTACTATCTCCATTTTATACATAAAGATACTGAAGCATGAGAGGTTAAGTAACTAACATAGTCACATAGCTAATAAATGGAAGTGTTAAGATCCATACTGTAGTCTGTCTTCAGAGTCTGTGCTTCTAGCCATTATACTATGCTGTTGCCATATATTATTTATCAAGATCTTCAACTGCCTATGAAAGGGTGAGGGAGGAAAACAAAAATAAATTGGGTATGTTTATCATAGGGAGTATACATTTTAAGAGGAAATAAAACAATTACAACTTTTAAAAAAGTTGTAGAGAAAAGTACAGAGTATTGAGGCAAAGCTTACTTTGAGTTGGGGCTGCTGGGAAACTTGATAGAAAAAGTGGCATTGGTACTAGGGTGTTAGACCACATGCTAAGAATGGTTAGACTTTGGATTTGCAGAGGGGAGAGGACCTTAATGGTAGGAGAAATAGCATGGACAAAGTTACACAATGGAAAGTTCCTGGTGTGCTTAGAGAACTAGTAAGTACCATCTTTTGGCTGGAATATATTATGTAGTTAGATAAGCCAGTTTTGGGGGCACAGGGACAGCAGATGTCTAAGAGGACTCTTAGTGAGGGACAAGGAAAATCATGAGGTTTTAAGCTGAAATTGAGTGTATACTGGAAGTAATCATCCTTTACGGGAAGATAAAGTTCATCTAGTCCCAACTTAAAAATTAACAATCCCTGTCTTTACTGTCTCACAAATCCCTCTTACTGTTTCCATTCACCTAGTTTATGCCTTTATTACAGTAATTCAGACATAATGTAATACATTTCTTAATTATTTTTCTTTTTCTAACATTTCTGAAATTTGTCCTGTATTCTAACCCCAGATTTATTTCTGAAATGTCACTTTCCATTTAGAAACCTGTTCCCTGTGGAATCAAGTGCAGACTTCTTGATCTGAACTTGTCAAATTTTCCCACACACTTTCCCCATAGTTACTTTTACTTAAGTTTTTCTGTACGCTGCTGCCAAACTGGCTCTGTCTGGTCTT